AATTCACACTCTCTGGTAGACAAACCTACATTGCTCCATTCAATACAACGAGGCTTAATCAAAGTGGAATGTGCATAGCAAGGATAAGAAGGCTTTAGAGCAGCGGTTCTCAACCTGTGGGTCGGGACCTCTTTGGGGGTCGAATGACCCTTTCACAGGGTCGCCTAAGACCATCGGAAAACACATATTTCCGATGGTCTTAGGAACCTGTCTCGCTTTCAACTCCCCCTAAAATTCTTCATTCAGGCAGGCTTCCAGAGTTCGGCTGGCAGGATGCAGGTAACCCCTCCCTCCTGTCCTGCCGCCTCCCACGGCGCCGCTGCGCATCCCGCGCCTCAAGCCTCCGTGGCACAGAACCGTTGGCGTGGTCCCCAATGGCCGCTGACGTGCTCCCCGCTGCCGGCGACCGTGCAAGCCCTGGCAATTGTTCCAGCCAAAGAAGTGGGTGGCTGGGAGGCCGCGGCGGCACCGATCTGTGCCAGTCAGCTGGCGACCCCCTGAATGTGTGCTTGTCAGTTGGGAGGTCTGGCGACGGAGCCAGCCAGTGTGGAGGGCGATGGGGAGGTGGCGGCTTGGCGGGCGGGTCCCCCCCTGCCCGCGAATGTCAGGCCCACGGAGCTTGACACAGAGTCGCCGGTCCAACATAACTTCCCTCCTCGGATGAGAAAGAAGGAATCTTTCCCACCCGTGTCCCTTCCTTCCCCTCAAGCGACAACAGGAGGTTGCAGACAACTAAGTCAGCCGGTGCAGGAAGCCCTGCATATCAGATATTTACATTACGATTCATAACAACCGTAGCAAAATTACAGTTATGAAGTAGCAACAAAAATAATTTTATGGTTGGGGTTCACCACAACATGAGGAACTGTATTAAAGGGTCGCAGCATTAGGAAGGTTGAGAACCACTGCTTTGGAGGCTAATGGCCATATTTAACCATTTCAGAGCATATTATATACAGTATGTCTCAAAAGATGGATGGTATGGTAGATTGCCTATTTACAAAATGCTGAACGGTGGGTCTGGTCTTTCATAACATGCACATTTAATTAAGTGAGGGGGGATTGTAGAGAATCTCAAAAACTCTTGATAATCTCTTATGTTCCCAAAATTGCACAAATCTAGCTTATTTTTTTTCCCCCATCTCTCAATGTTCAGGGTTCCATTTCAAAAGAAACACACTGAAATATATGGTATCACACAGCACTGTTATTACCTGAGAATGGCAGAGACAGGGGTAGAGATAGAGAGAGGCCCTGGGAGAGGATGGGACAATGGTCAATAACCTTTAGAGCAGCTCTTCTTTTACAGATAATGATGTGAAGGAAGAGACATGCCTCAACCCATCTTCTTGTGCCTACTGAGTTCTTCCACACAGTCAGATGAAAATACAGAAAGGATTGCAGAGCTTGATTATCACTTAATGGGAGTTCTCCTATCTGATGTGGGTGATTGGCTGAGTTTCTCATTCTCACACACATACACACAAACACACATATAAATATATACACATGGGATGGGGAAGTTTGGCATCTATCCACCATTTTACTGCAGCAAAAAGCCTCCTGTTCCAGTTAACTAAATTTTCAATCTATCCTTGGAAATTTTGGGCCCTATTATTGCTGCTAGCACATTCAGGAAAATGCAAAGATAAGTAATGGAACAGCTTGAAAAAATCTATTGCAAAATGATACCTCCTCTTCTGCCTTGCCTTATGTTTTGTGGGAGGCCAGCAAAAGGAGAGCTTTTAGAATAAATTGTTTTGCATGAATAGAATTTTAAAAAAGACATAAAGAAGGGGGAAAAACATATTTTGGGGGGTTATTTTTACCTGAGTTCCCCCTCCCCCCAATTTACCCATGGTCTGAATATCTCAACAGCTGGAATGTTTGCCTCCAATTCATGGCTTGTGCCTTGATGCTCAAGCAGGAAAATAATATAGCTATAAATGGAGTGATAACTCAATAGACATATCTAAAGGGCAGAAATAATATTCTATTTATAAATGTAATTCTTCTCAATTCTGTGCATACTTGAAATAGACAATTTTATTATGCTAAAATAATGTTTCTATGTATTGAAGGAATAAAATATGGACACTTTCTCTCAATCATTATGGGCAGAATCCAGTTGTAAGAGACCTATTCAAACAAAGCAGAAAAATTGCATTCATGGAGTCTAGGCTTTGGAGTAACCATCCATTAGAAGCTATGATCTCAATAATCAGGATATAAGAAGGTGAACCCTGAACCAGGAAGCTTGATATTGGCTTTCACTACTGGGACCAAAAATCTTTAAAGCCCCTCTCTGTTGGAGCAAAAGAACAGCCAACAACAAAGCCCAACTAGAAAGAAGCTCTCCCCATCCATGGAGATGCTGCCATTTGTTCCTGTGATGGTTTACTCCATAGGCTAATTACACATGACATGTTGTGGTAGATTCCCTGACAGTACTAGGACAAATAGTGTGCTGAAGATATTCTATTACAATTTTTTTTCCAAAGCTGCAGTTATTATATTCATCTTCAAAAACCATTTGGTGGTTCTGTTCTGTATTTATTGATAGTATTATTGTACTTGTATATACTTGACAGTATATTGATTGTAATCTGTAAGTCGTAGATTATTTTGGGACGCTTAAGGTATTGGACTATGCAGCTCATCATATACAGTTTCATGAAGGAAAATGGCAGCCATGTCAAAATTCCAATTTCAAGACTTTTATTTTAAGAGGAAATTAATAGAAACTGGCACAAGAGATACAACAGAATTAGCAGTAAATTATTTCACCCTCATATTATTTATCATTGCCAGGAGTTCAATCCTGACCAGCTCAAGGTTGACAGCCTTCCATCCTTCTGAGGTCAGTAAAATGAGGACCCAGATTGTTGGGGGCAATATGCTGACTGTGTAAACAGAGGGCTGTAAAGCACTGTGAAGCAGTATATAAATCTAAGTACTATTGCTATTTGTAGAGTGCATAAATAATGCATATTATTTTTAGGCAACTATATTGTTGGCATTGTACATACTCAACTACGGAGAGCATGATAAAAGTGCACTTTACTGAGTGACTTTCCCCCCAGAACTATAGATATATATTTTAAGACACATTTTCTTTTTCCTTATATTACACGAATTCAATCCATGAGCACTTTCACCTGTTGCTTTCACTTGCAAAGCTGCAGGGGCTTAAAACCATGTTGTAAGTTTCATGGAATGGAAATAAATTTTGTTTCGTGAAGATTTGATCCTTAACATATTGTTGCAAGCAATAATTGTGGCAAATATTTCAGTTAAAAAAACAACACAAGCTTTCCCATTTTCTTAAAAGAATAGGATATTTTGTATAATGTTACCTTTGGTGAATTATGGGTACATAGTCCATGAAACATATACTTACAGTAGTACATACAAGCTTATGCCTTTTAATAACATGTATTAGTCAGAAAAAATGCTATTAGATTCCTGATTTTTGATCACCATCGACTGTCACTCCTCTTCTTTTACAAGAAGAAAAGGAAGCATTACATTGTATCCCAGGGACTGGCTGACTGGCTGGCTGGCTGGAAGAAATGGCTCCCTCAAGCCAGCCTAAAACCAAAGTGGTCCACTTACTTTCCTCCCAGCCAAGTCTAACTATACAGATCAAGTTGAAGAATGTTTCCTTTGTTGTGTGTGCATGATGCTTACTCATCTACCAGCCATTCCCCTTTTGGAGGAGTCTATTTTTACAGCCTAATTTTCCACTTGTCTTTTGATCTTTTACCACAGAAGAGGCTCAGATATTAACAACACAGTCTAAAGAGACTGTGACGACATTGACTCAGGATGTCTGCCCGTTTGGGATTCAGGGCTCCCTGCATAAGCAGTTTTGGATAGAAAGATGTGCACTCCACTTGGAAGCTCAAAGTGCTAAGCTTTTATTTTTAATGGATGGCACTGAGTTGTGTGAACCAGTACTAATCCTTTGAGCATTACAGAAATATACTGTAGGGTCTGTGTATGACAAAGGAGCAGGTTTCATCCTATGGATCTTGTTAGCCCAGTCAGTATCAAGGAACGAGAACACAGCATCTATTACACTGGGTACTTTTTCTGTGCTTAGATTTCATCTCATCCAGCATTAGAAGTGGGTCATTAACATCCTGCCCCTAATACTTCAAGTTTAAGCCAAAAGGATTAAGACAATGAATCAACTCAATCAAAAAGGACACGGAAGAGGAAAAAAAAGTGATAGAAGAAATTGCTGGCAAGTATGCATTAATGCTTCATGAACAGGCTATTCTCTGAGCTTTAGTCTTTAATAAAAGAGACTTTCAAGCTAGTGGGAAAAAACGTTCAGAATTACAATTCCGTGTTTATTTATAAAGGTCTCATGTTAGGCTAATATGATAATGTATTGCCTTATAGAGTTCTATAAGCTGACCCATCTCCTCTTTAGGTTCCAAGCCATAAACTGGGGATAAATATTTGAAATACCGTATTCTTTTCCAGACAGTGCCTGATTCTTCACATCTAGTGCATGTAAGCAATGCCAAAGTTATGTGAAGTAAGTTGCTCTTGGTACTGAGATATAGTCTGCATAGAGGGCTCCAAACTTTCATGCCTTCCTAACTTGAAGCATTGTATATTTCCATACATTAACATACAATTATGCCTCTCTCCAATGAGAAACTCCTGCAGAACGGAGTTGGACTGGTGGAATTTAGTGATTTCTCAGATAACAAGAGCTTCACGTTTCTGCAAATTCCCATTTGCTGGTGAATCGCTGCTGCTGCTGCTGTGCTGCTGCTGTATGGCTGCAGCTTGCCTGATTGATCGATGGCTGCAATGGCACTTTTCCATCTGACATTCTCTCTCTCTCTCTCTCTCTCTCTCTCCCCCTTGCACTCTCTTCCCATTCGCCCACCCCCCCTTTTCTCTTGCTTAAACAGCAGCCCTAACTTTTGTGTGTTGCAAATATAAAAGGCAAACCATGTGATAGAGGGGCAGAAGAACAAAAGCATTTGGAAGTAACAAGACCTCTTTTTAGCCCTCGGTCTGGGGAGTCCAATAAAAGGGAAGGCACAGTGCAATTTGCAAAAGGTAAGCAAGCATATAGCCAAAAGCTTTAGATCAAACACCAAGTATTTCACGTGCTTAATATCACTAGTTGATTTTTTGCAACCCAAGGTTATTTTAATATCTTCTTCAATGCTTAATAAGCTTTGATTTAAAGATAGGTAACGTCAGTACCTACATCTTTTTTATTGCCAGCATGTCTTTGAATTATATATCTGCTGAGGATTATTTGTGTGAAGTTAGGCAGCAACAAGGAATCTCTTGGTTATCAATGGGTTATGTTAAATTTGTGCCTTTAGACTGCTCTTCATTTGCACACAACCATTACCTGGCAGCGGGAAATATTTGAATTGCTTGAGCGTTCCAAAAAGGAGCAGGATACCCTCAGCACTGTCTCTATATGCCATCATAATGGGACTCTATGATCACAGGCTAAGCATCTGCTTTGAAACCAATGTTTACTTTTATTGCAACTTATGGATGTTGGTCGTCTGCCAGTCATCTGCTAGAATGCTTAGAATAATTGGAAACAATGGCAATATTTATTTCAGGCACTGTCTGTCATCCTTCACAGAGAATAGTTTTAGGTTTTGTATTTGAACATGTGTGCATGTGTGGGGAGGTAGTGTGGAGGTCATTTAAAAAAAAAACTTCATTAAATGTCCTGGGAAGTTTTGCCATAGAGTACACAGCACTGGTTATGGATTAGAAATAGATTTAATATGTGCATGCGATTGGTTAAAGTGAGTAAGTAAATCCATTGTGTTTGTCTTGGCTGCAGAACAGAGGAGATATATTGAGCAGTCGGCTTACCCCTTCTGCACAACCATTAATGCAATGTGGATGCCTGTTGGCAGATCAGACTAAAGGATGCTTAACAAAAAAGCAGTTTAGAGGAACAATTTGTCAGGTCTTTAGTGCCTGCCTTTATGAGAAGTTTCTTCTATCTTAGAATCATGTTTTGGTGGGCAAGCGATTAAGTGATTTTTTTAAAGGAGAATTAATTACCTTGCAAGATAAAAAGGTCATGGGATTTTAGGATAAATGTATAACCAACGTTAAAACATGAAATTAACAGAGAGCTTAAAGTAAGATAAAATATGGGAAAGCCCTCAATTATTATTTCATTAAAAATATAAACTACCACCAGATGCTGAGCTAAAATAGTCAGTCAGAAATGAATGCGTAAAACCAGCAAGCTTGACTGTGGGATTAAGAACATTGTCATTTAATTTTTTAAAACAGTTGCATTTGGATTTGAGAGATTTCTGCCTGTTAGCATGAAGGATTGCAAGCAAACCTTTTTAGCATAATGCCAATTTTGGAAATCAGCACAGTAGAAAAAATTCAATATACATGATGAAAGATTAACTTACAAGTAACATCCCAATCACTATCTGAAATGGGATGCTGTATAGGAAATGAATCAGCCAGAGTCAGGCAAAAAAATAGAGAGAGAATATACCCCAAATCACTTTAATAAAGAGACTTTTTCATTTACAGTTGGGACTCTATTCCTCCCTGAATGGAAGCTAGCAGAAAATGTAGTAATAAGAGGTGCAATATAGTTTCATTATTTCATTTCCAAAGGATTTCTTTGTCCTGGAATACCAGGCAATACCACTATTAAACCAGATGATATGACCAAAAACCACATGCAAAATAATGATTGGGATTTAAGCGAATGCATATTTGACAGCTTCAACCAAAGTTTTTCACAGAGAAGAACTTGGGGTGACAAACAGTTACTATCACAATCGGCGATAGTACATAGAGGGAAGGAAAGAGGGGGATTTCACTCAGTTCTCTGACTGTAATACATGCTAATGTATTCAAGGGGCTGGAGGGAAAAAAAGTTAAATCAAACCCTTAAGGCAGCTGTTGTGGCAACCTAACTGTCTGGCAAGGGCATTCTGAGTTTTAGATGGACATTTTTCTTGCGGTATAAAGACTGAACCTTACAGCTCTTGTTTGTAAATAAGTATTTAATATGATAGAAGATAGTGTCTTAAAAGAGAGGGAGAGAAAATGAGAGGTAATAAAATTCTACTTACCAACAATAATAAAGTACACAGCCTACCAAAGAAATAGACTTCTTTCCATAAAGGTAAGACAAGATTTTCCATGATGGCCAAACCTATGTTGGTTTGCACTTAGTAGCTTTATTCCCAGTTCTTCCTAGTGACGCAGCCAATACTGAGAAGTCTGCTACCGTAACCTAGAGAGGTAATTCTAGACCACAGTGACCCCAAACATATTTTTTACAACCTTTTAAAGGGCACACACATGCACACACCCCTACAGTCTATGTTGCTGAAATTTTGGGGCCCAAAATGCGACATTTTTAGAGAGAACAATTTTTAACTCAATATAAGGTGCCACGTCCCCATCATACTACAAACTCCACCAAGTCTCATATTACTTGACATTAATCACACTGTCCTCAATCACAAAATAATAAATGCACAGTATCTAACATTGATAAGATTTTTCAGTTTGGATCTAGAGGGTTCCCAAATAACTGTGGAAATCTAGGTTTTAGATCTCATGGGGGCTCACTGTTGTAGCAACCTTCTCTACACACACACACACACACACACACACACACATACACACACACAAACACACCATTCCAAGATAGTTACAAAAGTTTGTTTAATTATTTTTTACTTTAAATATATAGTTGATCCTATTACAAAATTGTGTTTATTTCAAGTAAACAATACCTCACAACAAATTCTGTTTTGTTATGTTAGTTGTAATAATGCCACTATTTATATACATCTAAAATGCACGCGCTCCAAAATTTGCTACAGCATATCGGATATATAAAGCAGTTATAAGATGTGGATTTGTGTGGAGAAGAAAAGTGGTGTGTGCTTTACAAATGCTACATTACACATTGGGGCTGTGCAGCACTTTGGATATGAAGGGAGAAATGGGATTCAGAGAAAAATGGGTGCACCCGCCAGAAACACCTTAATCCAAACATGGCTACAGAAAGCAGCCACTTTAGTTCAGGAAAGATCCATCTGCTTTAAGGTGTTTCTGACAAATGCTACATGACTCTGAATCACAGTCCTCCCTTTGATTCTACACTGCTGCACAGTCCTACTGCACATGGTCATTTACACTTAAACCAATTTGCTGGTCCCACGTCTCTCATCTGCGTTCACATTTATTCAACTATAGTGCCATGTATGCCTCATGGAATCAGCTTCCTGACTGCCAACACTTTAAACAGGGCCCTGGGGACCTATCTTTGGGGAATTCCACCTTGCATCCTAAGGAACAGATTTTCATTTTCTTCTTTAACCCATCAGTGTACTCCACCCCCCACTTCTTGAATGCAGGAACGGGTGACATCATCATAATCTCCCCACTCCAGCCCATTGCAAATGGGCCCACACAACGTTTTCCAACTCAGATTTGAAACGATAGTTTTTATGACATCCTTAAGCCCTTTAGAGTAGATGATCTCCAGAGTTTCATTCCATTGTAGTAAGAGCCCTAGCTCTGATGGGATATGGTGCTTACATACCTCACTTCCCTCCAGTGGCTGGGCACTGCTCTGTGTAGTTGTTTCATCCTAGGCTGGCAGCTTCTATGTTCTCTGCTGGTTGACAACTGCTACTTTTTTAAAATATATAATCCTGCATTGATCTAGCAATGCCCTTTTAATTCAATGAGGTCTCTAGAAACTCATGCTTCATTCAATCCTTGCATCTCTTAGTGGGCACTGTTTTGGTGTTTGCTCAGGCTGGGTAAAACGTCCTCCCCTTGTTTTACCTTTCCCTACCCCAGTACAATACTGTATGCAAAGCCTCCTTGCCCTTCCTGTTAAAAAAAAGTTACAACATCGGAAAGTCTCTGTTTTTTTCCCCTATGAAATCAAACCATCAGTTCTTTCTTCTTATATGTTTTCCTGGACCTACAAAGAATCTTAGGAACTAACGAGCAATGATAAGGAGAAAGGAAGGGATGTGAAGGCATCTGTATATGGAAATCTCTGGGAAAGCAAAGGAAAGGCATGATGCTAGTGAGGTGGAACAATCTCTCAAAAAAAAGAAAGAAAGGGAAGAAAGAAAGAAAAAGAAAGAAAGAGAAAGAAAGAAAGAAAGAAAGGAAAGAAAGCAGAAAAGAAAAGAATAAGCAGGCACTGGCAAAGTGGGCTATATGGGAGTTAGCCAGTGAGACTTGCCTTCCCTGCATGTATGAGAAGAGCAAGGAGTGGGGAACAATCCGTCAGGTCTGTTCCCAAGGTTTTGCAATGAAGAGTGGAATTTTTGAAGGTAACTTAGAAAACAGCCAGGAACAGCATACGAATCAGGGCGATTTGAGTTTGAAACATTTAAGATGACTTGGGTTAGAAAACAGCTTTGAATCCATTTTAGAAACACAAACACCAGTGCACTTGACTGGACAGCATTTTGGTTCTCTCTCACAGTGGATCCTTCCACTGTAAGAAATGGTTAATGGTGCAGTTAACAGAGGGAAGCATCTCTTCTTCATACTCAGCTCTTTCTCAAGCATGTTTCTGCTAGGATGAATTGTCCTCAGAATTGCAGAAGGTTCAAAATCTAAGCTTTTTCTGTTTCATAACTGAGCTGGAAACATGGGGAATGGCAGTTCAAAGGCATCATGATCAGGTTGCCCCCTTTTCCTTTTCACAGAGTATATGATTGGCAATGGTGAAGGTTGTTCTATTTATTATTTCAAACAAAAGAGCTAGAAAAAAGGATGACATTTCCCCTTCCTATGCCTAATGGTCCTGATTCAGATTATATTATGTGTACTTTCAATAAAGTAAATAAAATCTGAAATTGAAGCAGCATGGTCCATTCATACCTATCTATCTGTCTGTCATCTATAGCTATCATTTCATATCTAATCCTAGTCAGGTGGGAGTGAACATGTGGATTTAAGATGTAGTTTGGATCAGAAAGAATGACTGGCCTAAAATTACTCAGTAAGCAAAATGATAAACTGAGGAATTAGGACTTTGATTCTGGATTTCCCAGTTC